AGGGAGAGAGAGAGACATCAATGATGTGAGAGAATCATTGATCAGCTGCCTTTTACTGCCCCGCTCTGAGGATCGAGGCCCCAACCCAGGTCTGTGCCCTGACTGGGAATTGAACTCCTGGTTCATGGGTCGATGCTCAACCATTGAGCAACACCAGCCGAGCATATAGTTTTTCTTTTTTATTAGTTGTCTCGTACTGTGCCCAATTTATAAATAAAATTTTATTCTAGGTTTGTGTGTATAGGAAAAAACACAGTATATGTGTATATATGTGTATATGTATGTGTGTGTGTGTGTGTGTGTGTGTGTATAGGGTTTGGTACTATCCATGGTTTCAGGCATGCACTGCTGCAGATGAGAGGACCACATAGGTTGAATTTTTCTAAATTAAATCTTCCCCGTTGCTTACATGATGATTTGAGTAGCTGCCCGCGTATTTCTGATGCGTTGCCTTCTGTTGTAATTCAGTTCTCCTTCTCCAGTCCAGGTGCAAATGAAGTTTGAAACAATGTGGTGGTGATTCCACTTGAAATGAAACATTCCCGGTTTTTTGTATATTAGAATTTTTTGCATGTTAAGTTTTCAGAGTAATATACAGCTCTATAAATGAAGTTGCTTATTTTCTACTAAGAATGACTTATTAACAAATTTTAAAATTTAGAAATTGATGCTTTATTATACAGTTCATCTGACCCCCCTAAATCTGGATAAAGGCCATGGTCAAGAGTGGTACCGCAGCTTCAGGAAATGGAGAAAGATGGAAGCGTGGGATGTAAAATACCACGTAGCACAGCTTTTCCTTTATTCAGATGTTTATGTTGTTAAAAATCACTTACATCAAAGACCGTGTTGCTGCTGTCATTATAACGCTTGCATTGCTGAATGCCGGCTATGTTTGGGTGTTCGTTAGGTCTCTTACCCACAGTTTATGAGTCTTACAAGACCTCTGTGAGCCTTTCAGAGAGATTGTGACGGCAGCAGCTGCCGTATCTTTAATGATCCGTGGTTGGGAGCTGTGCTGTGTTGCTGGAGCCTCTCGGGTGGAATAAACAGCTGGGGATCCTGAGTCGGAACGTGGATCCCCTGCTTGTCAGGGCCCATCAGGGACCCGCCGGACACTTCACACTCGGCTTCTAAGCTGCTCAGCCTGCGGGACCCACTCTTGCCCTCTCCGGGGGCCCCGCCCGTCTCCAAGTGAGCAGGCCGTGTGATCCTTGAGGGGTGCCCTCCTGCGGGGTCCTGTCTGCAGCCTGAGAGCACTACCTCCGTCAGCCTAGTCGTGGCCCGGCTCCGCTGCCGCACGGGGCCTTGTCCTGGACCCTTCGTGCCTGGGTCTTAGGTGGGAAAACTGATTACAGAGGGCGTGGTGATGGAGGTGTCCCTTTATTTCCCGAGTTTTCACTCAGTAAGAAAGAGGAGTAAGAGATGCCAAGATGTTGGTTCTGAGCAATTGAGTGTGAAGTCAGAGCTGAGAAGGGGGAGAGGGGCGGCCAGGCCGGAGCCCAGGCTGGGGCTGCGCCCGCAGAGCCATGCGTGGGGTGCCCACGCGGCCCCCTCTCTTCAGAGCCGTGTCTCAGAGGCTGTCCTTAGCGCTCGTGTCCCGTATGCAGGGTGCACATGCAGGCTAGTCTCAAGTCACTTGTGGAAGCGAGCATGTGGGGGAGGTCACAGCAGTCCTCTGTTATCACAAAGACAGAGCAAAAAGTGCAGGACATTGAAAGTTACTTAAAGTTCCGTTTTTGTTGGTGGTGGTAGAGTATTTCCTTATTCTTACGTATTCTTATTTTTTATTTTTGTTTTAGAAATTTTCTAACACAGTCTTCTCCAATTCCTCCATATATAGTGACAACAGTTTTGTATATCAAAGGGCATCTATTCTTCAATTAATACCTTCCTTACTATAATTTTTCCACATGTATCGTTTTTGTTTTAATTGTATATTTGCGTATGCATACACTCCCAACTCATGTGATGCATACATGTGATGAATATACATGCTATCGAAGGGAGATTTTCCATGTTTATCCTCTAGCTCAGCTGTCCACCCCCATCTCAGACGCACACACACTGCTCCCTGCTCAGTGGCTCATAGGAAGTATATATACTTCCCCACATATTACCAAAGTGGGGTCATGTTACATTTCTTCGTTTTTCCCTTGTCACTAAAAACAGTTATATTAAGTCCCTATTTATGGGTGTTGATTTTGTTTCTTCCCTTAGTCACTACACCTGCCTAATATATCTCAATGAAGTACTTTTATGTTTGGAGCATATATTGTCAATATTGTTTTTTATTAAATATTGAAGTGTGCTTGTTTTGTATATGTATATATATATATATACACATATATGTATTTTTTTAAATTGATTTCAGAGAGGAAGGGAGAGAGAGAGAGAAACTTCAGTGATGCGAGAGAATCACTGATCAGCTGCCTCCTGCACGCCTCACATTGGGGATCGAGCCCACAACCTGGGCATGTGCCCTGATCAGGAATTGAACCGTGACCTCCTGGTTTATAGGTTGATGCTCCACCACTGAGCGACACCATCCGGGCCTTGTTTTATATTTTATTAGTTGTTGCCAGGCAGATAGTACACTATAGCCACAGGGTATATAGTATAGTTACATTCTTTTTATTAGTCAACAATATATGTCCGTGTATCCCCTCTTGCAGTGTTGCTTTAAGTTTTGCCAGCCTGATGGGAACAAAGTAGCTCTTACTGACTTTGCAGCCCTCTGTGTTGGGTCCCTAGACCCCTGCCCCTCCTTTCAGTGCCTGTGTGGGAGTCGGAGCACTCAGTGTATTGTTGGCTCATTGCCATGCTGTGTTCCCGAGAAGGGACCTAAGGGACGCAGAGGGAGAAGGGTCATGGGCGGAGGTCTGGGGGAACCAGGCACCAGCTCCCAGTAGTTTTCTCCCAGTGGAGGCCCTCTGGACACACTCCTCCAGTGAGGCATTGCGATGGCACAGAAAATGTCCTCATCAGAGGCGGGAGCGTTCCGTGGTGGCACACAGGCACCTCCGTCTAGGACAGAGCCGAGTGCCAGGCTTGCGGGAGGAAGCAGGGGTCTGGAGAAGCCACGCTGCTGCTAGTTCAGGTGCAGAGACCACCTTACCAGCCACTGGGCTGGGAATCCTCCCGAATCGAATCCTAAGCTCCCCGAGCCAAACCCTCGAAAGCAGGCTTTCCCAAGGAGAGCGAAAACTAGCCTGTTGGGTGGTCTTTTCTTTCTGTAAAAAGTGGCTTTTATTGAAATACTAGAGTCCCGGTGCACGACATTCGTCCCCTGGTGGGTGGGGGGGGGTGTCCCTCAACCCAGCCTGTGCCCTCTCGCAGTCCAGGACCCCTCAGGGGATATCTGACTACCATATTAGGCCCGCTCCCGCTCAGCCAGAAGCAGGGCTCGAAGGTGGGAGAGGCTCCCGCCACCACCGCTGCACTTACCAGCCATGAGCCCAGCTTCTGGCCGAGCGGCACTCCCCCTGTGGGAGTGCACTGACCACTAGGGGGCAGCTCCTGCATTGAGCGTCTGCCCCCTGGTGGTCAGTGTGCACTATAGTGACTGGTCATTCCGTGTTTGGTCGATTTGCATATTAGCCTTTTATTATCTTTTATTAGCTAGGATACAATTTGCTCATTTAAAGTGAATTTTAGTACGTCACATTTGTAGGACGTTTTCATCACTCAGAAAGGACCACTGTACCATACCTTCAGCTGTTACAATTCGCTCATTTAAAGTGAATTTTAGTACATCACATTTGTAGGACATTTTCATCACTTCAGAAAGGACCACTGTACCATACCTTCAGCTGTCACTCCTCACCCCCACCACCACAGCCCTCGCTTTCCTATCTGAGCAGCCACTAACATGCTGTCTGTCTGGATTTCTGGGTTCTGGACATTTTGAGTGAATGGAAGCATGTGATATGTCGTCTGTGGTGACTGGCTTCTTTCACTCAGCACAATGTTCTCAGTGTCCTCCATGTTCAGCTGTAAGTCCATCCCTTTTCATGGCTGAATAATATTCCATTGCTTGAATACACAATGTTTGGGAAGTGTAAGCTCTTTGGTTCACATTAAGAGCTGAAAATTCTTGTTTTCTACTAGTTTCATTAGTTTTAAAATGATGTCGCATGGTAACACCTACAAAAATGCTTTATGCTGGATATTGTGCAAATTTTATCCCCTTAACAAGTGGGACCAAATAAACTCTCTCACTTATTGTCAATGTGCAAAATTATTTTATCTTTTTGATTGTAGTTGACATAGGTGTACAACACAGTAATCTGACATTTCTCTCTCTTAGGAGTGATCATGTGAAGTCTGGTGACCATCTTGCACTGAGTGGATTATTACCATGTTATTGAGTAGATTCCCTGTGCTATGCGTTACCCCTGGGACTTAGTTTAGACATGGAAGTTTGTACCTCTTAATCCCTTCACCTTTTCGCACATGGCCCCTCTCCCCTCCCACAGGCAACCGTCAGTCTGTTTTCTATAGGGTTTGGTGTCACATTGATATTTAAACAATTTTTAATGGTAAACTATGTTTTCATTTTCATATTAGAACATTAGTTTTAATCTTTTTATGATTATAAATTCAACATTCCAAATATGTATTCACTGTTTGTGTTCAAATAGTAAAGTAGGGGCTTTCTTGATTAGCCTTTCCCTTTATGTAAGCAGTGTTTCTGTTGTAAAGTTGCTTTGCGGTCATGTGGATGTGCAATATGGAGTCAGTCACTTTGATAATTTCACCTGAAAGAGAGAGAGAGCGAGCCTTCTTTCTTACTAAAAGGCCATAAGGAAAACGAACAGCCAAAGGAATCGTGTCAGATGCCAGTGTTACATCGTTTTCAAACCATCAAGACAGTGGCTTGAACTTTAAAGAAAATTTGTTCATCAACGTTATATTTAGCAGTTTAAGAAAATACCTTTTTCATCATAAGCGATTACATCTCTTAAAAGTAACACATAAAAACGTTTGAGGCCTTGTTCAAAATAGCCTTCCTTTTTCGTTTCAGAACTTCACGTTCACGCGCTGTTTCAGTGGACAAAGTCCTCCCAGTTTGCGGCCGCAGGAAAGCGATGGACACGGACGCTCGCGGAATTGGAGACTGCAGCGCATCCCAGTGGACACGTCAGGATAGCACCCGCTGCAGCACCGTCTCACACGAGCATCCCACGCTCAGCTTCCACGCCCACAGAGCCGCGTGAACATGGCGTGGGTGAAGTTCCTGCGGAAGCCGGGCGGCGGCCTGGGGAAGGCCTACCAGCCGGGGAGCCTGCTGTCGCTGGCGCCCACCAAGGGCCTGCTCAACGCGCCGGGCCAGAACAGCTGCTTCCTCAACAGCGCCGTGCAGGTAGGCCGGCTCCAGGCGCTGCGCTGCGCGGGGGAGGCCTCGCCTGTGCTTCCACTGCACGTTAAGAGTAGAGTTAGTGACTCCAGTGACTTGTATCACTTAATGGTGGCAGCAATATGTGGGCTGGGCACTTCGGTTATTATAACAAAAGGAATTATTTTTTTCAGCAGGGTCAGATATTACTACGATATGAAGATATCGTTTGATTTATAGTCACTACTTAGTAAATTAAGAATATGTTTCTCAAATACATAAAATAGTTTTGGAATCAGCTAATTTCCTCCCGTGCCCCCTACACGCACACACATCCACATACTTTTTAAAAGGAAATCCAGTAGGATCCCCACCGACAGCATAAAAGGAAACAAGCCATCTGTGTCGAAACGAGCTGGGCTTTTAATCTCAGTTCCAGCTTCCTCACCCCCACTGTGCTGTAGCCCACCTCTGTGGGAGGATTCATGATTGGGACTCCACTGTTTTTGTTAAATTGGAGGTTGGTCCATTTTGCTTCCGTCCTTGTTGCAGTCCTTGTAATTAACAAGTGTGTGTTAGCCCGCTTTTCTGTCTTAGATAAATGTCCTTGTGTGTGGTGTGGTTTCTGTTCCCCAGTCCCAGCTTTTGTAGGATCTTGTGTCCTTCCGGCCACTACCAAAGAGGATTTAGAATGTTGGGCTGTTACTCTGTTGACCTCAGAATGTATCTTAGAAGAATTTATTGAAAATAAACCACTTTTCACATATTTTCCATTGCTACTTTTCCCTCCTCACAGCTCAGAGTAGAAAGACAGGTACTGGGTAGTTAGCCCCTTAGTTAAATGAGCCTGTCAGGACTGCTCAGACATCCCAGCAAGGACACGCACAAGGGAAAGGAAATGGAGAAGTGCCCGATACGATGCACTTTTTAAATGAGCATCCGTGACCTTCCCATGAAGAGGCTCTGCACATCCTATGCAGCGGCCCTCGCTGGTGCTGGCATCCTGCGTGCAGCCTGCGTGGCGTCTGCTGGCACCTCTCAGCGTTTCCCGTGGCCCAGGCTGTTGGCCATGTGTTCTGGAGTTCTTGTGTGTCTGGGAAAAACTCAACTTCGTTTTGTTGGTGAAAGATGCTTTCACCACTAAAGGCGTCCGAGTTGCCCGCTTTCTCTTTGGTTCTGTGCAGCTCTCGCTCCCTCTCTTTGGCTCACGTTGTTTCTGATGAGAAGCTGTCGTCTTACCTGTCCCTCTGCCCACGTCCTCTCCTCTCTGTCCCTGGGCGGCACGGTGGTCGTGTGGTACTTCCACATCGTTCTCGTCGTGTGTCTTGTAGTGGGTTTGCTGAGAACTGGTTTATAATTTTAACCAAATCGGGAAACTCTGACCATTATGTCTTCAGGTTTTCCTGTGCCTCCTGTGGAGGCCGCAGGTACGACACCCTGGCGGCTGTGGTGGGAATGACAGCGGCAGGGGCAGTTGGCACTCCTTGCCTGCCAGCTCTGCCCGGCACTGCGCTCCCACTTTAAAGGTTATGGCTGAGTGCTTGTCACTTACCAAGAGCCCTGTGGGCAAGGCAGCCACGGTGTCCCACGGTAGCGATGTCAGGTTTCTCAGACCGACTTTAAGTTCTGGACTGATTTATTTAAACAAGTACAGTCCCGCCTCCCCCCCTTCTCTGTCTTTTAGTAGCAAATGATGACTGGATAGTTGTAGCCAAAGTATTGGGGTTATTTCTAACTGCTCTTCCTACTGGGCCGCACCCCGTTCCCAGCCAGGCGCCCTCCCCTCAGTGCGGAGGGAGAGGTGGCCGCTGCTCACCCTGTCTTCTCGCTCACCCGCTCTGACCCATTTGCTGCACCCTGGTCTCAAGTCCAGTTGTGTTTCCTCTGAATTTCACTTCGTTCCAAGTATTACGATCACTTCTTCCGTCGTGTCTGCCAAGTCCCCGTAGTACCGCGTGTCCTGTTCATAGAGCCCTGACCTGAGGCCTCCGCCGCCTGCCCGCGCTGCTCAGGCTCCCTGGGCGCCGGAGGCCTCGCTGGCTCCTGCTGGTGCTGTCTGGGGGGAGGGGGGGCTGTTGTGCAGGAGGTTAAAGGCCGTCTGGTCTGCAGTTTCTAGGACATTTCCGCCTCTTCTCGCCGAGCCTCACCGTCTCTCCTGCTCTCGCCGCAGGTGCTGTGGCAGCTGGACATATTCCGGAGGAGCCTGCGGGCCCTGACCGGGCACGTCTGCCAGGGCGAGGCCTGCATCTTCTGTGCGCTGAAGGTATCTCTCAGAGCTCCACGGCTGCCGTGGTTGTCTCTCCAAGTGTTTACTTTTACGTGACAGTTTATTTGATTTATTTGCCATATTTGATAGCTCACTTGTAATTAAAGTTCATTGTCAAGTGATTTATAATTCTGAGGATGAATTCTTAAGGTATGATTTATTTGGGTTTGTGTTTTCATTTTTCACTTCTATACAAGGACAGTTAAGTTAATATTCTACAGGGTATGAAATTGTTGGGAACATTACCTTTTACTTCAAGCATGTCAAACTCAAAGGCTACCATGGGCCAAATAAGGTTTAAGTTGATGTGGGCCAAAAAAAACAAAAGCTTCAATTTTCATGGAAACATAGGTTTATTTCAATAGAGACATGCTGAATACAAAGGGCTAAAATAAATGAGTCATTGTTAACATAAAAGAACAGAACATTTTAATAAAAACTAATATTTTTCTTGAACATTAGCTTACCAGACACTGAACAACTGCACAAATTAGTAAGCGTAACGCAAATAAACCTATTTTTCTTGTTCTCCGAAAGCAAAATATTTCCTGTTTTGCACACCAAGCAAGTCAGTCCAAGACTAATGCCGTGGCCATTGGCTGCTAAAATATTCGCTGCTAGGATTAGTGGAGAGAAATGGTGCGCCTGCGTGTAAGGCATGTAAGGGAAATGAATGCAACACGATTATAGTCATCAGTCATTGGTGACTGTTGTAATTCCTTATTAATAATTATGTAGAACAGGATATTGTAAAAATTAAGTCATGAAATTTTAATTGAAACGTTTCTTACTGTTATATTGGCTGGGCCGCAAAAATATTCACTGTGGGCCGTGTGTGGCCCACGGGCTGTGAGTTTGACATTTTCTTTTTACATTATTTTGAAACTTAGTTTTAAAATGTTTTTTTGAACTCCTAAATTCTGGTTGCCAGGGAAACAGGAGTGAACAGAATGATACAGCCCTGCTTTCATGGAGCGTCTGTTCTAGGGAGGGGAGGCATATCAGACGGTAGTAACTGCAAATGAGGGCAGGGGACCAGGAAGGGGATAGAGTTGAGA